TTAACTTAACATTTCTTATATATGTTTTGGTATATTTAAATAGTTGACATACTTGTAAATTATATTAAAATTTTAATGTCTCCATTATATTTCATTTTATTGATGTTTCATGGTTTGTGGTGTATGGTCTTAAAATAATTAACCTGTAGAGTAGATACTAAATTTAAATTTTAGAAAATCTTTTATTATGGGAATTTTCAGATATACCCGAAAGCAGACTGGTGTAATGAGTTCTCATGTATCACCCAGCTATGACAGTCATCAACTCATAGCCACTCTTGTTTCATCTGTTATTCTCCTTTCCCCATTATTTTGAAGCAAATTCCAGACATCATAAAACAGAATTACGATGCATGAAATTTGTCACTTGCTCTCCCTACACATTTATATGTAGATGTATTCTCATTTATCTCCTCTTTTGAATTGAATTTTACTCTTTCATTTTGGATGTAGTCAGCTTTAATTATATCAAATATTGTCCTACTCTAAATACCTAATACTTAGGGTGAACTTTATTTAAGAATATTAGAAATTTTGTGCTGATGTGTAGTTGAAGCACAAACTTCCACTAGAACCACATTTGGGGGGCTTGTCTGCTGACAAGTGAGTGAGGTATTTAATTCCAGCTCTACTGCTGACTTTGTTAGGTGTTTTAAGATGACTTTCAGGTGTATCTCTAAGTGCAGGTAAGGATTCGAAAAAACATTTTTGAGAACTTTTGGTAAATCAGCTATGAACGCAAAGACTTGGAAAGCAGCTTTTGGGACAACTCTTGGTAAGTCAGCTATAAGATGCAGTGCAAGCTCTGTAAGCCAATACTGTTTAAAATAAGTTGTCCTTCAGGGCAGTTGCTAATGCTTAATTGTGTGTGTGTTTTTTAAGGGCTTAGGAATATGAGTCTGGTTAAATCAGAGTCTTCCTGATTCTTTGTATTTTAAACAATAAGGTTTTGTACTCTGTTGGACTTTAATGTTGTTTCCGTGTGTATATGAGTGTGGAGAAGGGTTGTTGGGGCTGATTTAAGGTAATCCTGTCCCCTGTATGCATGTGTATTTCGTGCTTGAGATTTATTGGCTAGAAAAAGGCCAGACATTATGGGTTAGTTTTTTTCCTCCTAAAGTATATTCTGCAGTCATAGGTTGAGCATTTACAGCATATGCAGGTATCTTCCTTTCCATTTTAATGATCAGATGGCACATGGAAGATAACTAAGCTAAAATTGAATATTAAAAGCTGTATTCCATTTCTGCTCTATACTTTTATACTATCTTTATATATTTATTTGAATAATTTTTTCCTGGACTTAAATTTTTTTGTATAATTATCTCCATATTTGCTTGGAATTTTAGCACAATATTTGAGCCAGAAAACTTTTCTTTCTTTCTTTTTTTTGGTGAAAAAGATTAGCCCTGAGCTAACATCCATACCAGTCTTCCTCTATTTTGTATGTGGGATGCCTTCACAGCATGGCTAATGAGTGGAGTAGGTCCGCACCTGGGATCCGAACCAGCAAACCCCTGGCTGTTGAACTGCGGTGGAACTGTAACCACTTGGCCATGAGGCTGGCCCTGAGCCAGGAAACTTTTATAAAGCTTGAGCTAAATTAAATAAATTTGTTGACATTAAATGGAAGCTAGCAACTTTGCAGTTTTAAAATCTTTGGTGGTTTGGGAATAATAAATGACTCAACTGTGTGAGGTGAGGTAATTTCCAGATACAAGGTACTGGTCGTACTAAATGTACCTTGATGACTAATTAAACACTTACTGAGTGTAAGTACTATGGTGATGCACCAGAGTGGAAATTGAATATCCATGGAGTGCAGTGTATAGCTAATTGAATTATCTTAACCAATGCAAATGATAATTTGTATGACTAATTTAAAAAAAGCACTCTGTGTATTAATTTGAATTTCTGTGCTGTTAAGGTTTTTGGAATGTATATTTGAATTCTCATGTGATTAAAGTATTTAATCTTGATATTCTTAGAACATGCTGAATTATAGTAAGGGAACTTGATGCAACTCATGGATTTAGTTGTTCACTTATTGGGAATGAAGGCTTTTGGTATTGGTCTAGTTAAGAGAGAACACCTGACATCTAGCTTCTGTAACAAGGGTGGCTGAAGCAGGATTCTCTATCCTGATTGCCTGTTAGAATCATCTGGAGGCTTTAAAATAAACAGATCTGAGACCATTTAAATAAGGGTCTCTGCGGCTGGCCCCAAGGCTGAGTGGTTCAAGTTCCATGCGCTCTGTTTCCGTGGCTTGGGGTTCCTGGGTTCGGATCCCGGGTATGGACCTGCTCCACTCATGAGCCATGCTGTGGAGGCATCCCACAAACAAAGTAGAGGAAGACTGGCACAGATATTAGCTCAGGGCCAATCTTCCTCACAAGTAAATAAATAAATAAATAAATAAGAGTCTCTGGGTTTAGGGTGCTGGCACTGGTAGATTTTAAAAACTCTACAGGTAATCCTAAAGTTTAGCTGAGGTTGAAAACCACTGGCTTGAAAGACATGCTCCAGGACATGTTACTTGATGTGGTGACTGTCAGGGGTGACCGCTTGCTTCAAAGAAGGGACAGCAACTTTTCCTTGCTTTATTTCCAGGGAGGGGGTCTGCACCATTTTTTATTAAAGTTGGGATTTTTTTTTTCCTTTTCTAAAGATTGTCACCTGAGCTAACAACTGTTGCCAATCTTTTTTTTTTCCCTTCTTCTCCCCAAAGCCCCCCAGTGCATAGTTGTATATTCTAGTTGTAGGTCCTTCTGGTTGTGCTTTGTGGGACACTGCCTCAGCATGGCCTTATGAGCGGCACTATGTCCATGCCTGGGATCTGAACCGGTGAAACCCTGGGACACCCAAACAGAGTGCATGAACTTAACCACTCCGCCATGGGTCCAGCCCCATGAAGTTGGGATTTTAAAGAAGGTTTTAAAGCCTTGTCCTTAGTGTCTTGGCCTATTAGGAGAGCAAAATGGTTAAACTCTTACTACCTATAAAATAATTGTAGTCAGAGCTAACATTTGTCGACTGCTTACTCTATGCCAGTCACTGGGCAGCTAAGGGTTTTACGTACATTATCTTATTTGAGCTTCATAATAACTTTTTGCAATGACTGCCATTTTATTGATGGAGAAATGGAGACACAGAGGTTAAATAACTTGTGTCAACTCAGAACACCTGGGTGGCAGAGCTGGGTAGAAAGAGTGACTCACTCCGCACTATACTGTGCAGACTTCCCCCTCGTACTTCCTGACGGTTAGAGGAAATATGGCTGCCATGGAACTTACCTTGATTTGTTATCTGTTAGAGGAAAAGGGCTCCTTTATAAAGGACATTATTTATTCATACATTTATTTAAATGAATTGGAGAGGAATAAGAAAACTTAACTTTTACAAAATGCTGAAGATATGAATGGTTTTAAAAGAGCTTTATTTAAATTAATTTTAGATCTGTGTCACTTTTAATAAACTAAGCTGGAGATGGATAGGTATGAAGTACTACTTTTCCGGTAGAAGTATACTTTATATTTTGAGGAGCACTTTCTTTTTTGAGGAACACTTTCTTTTTTGATGTTCTTATATATTCCAGTCATAAAATATTGAGATTGACATGTTTGTTTTTGAATCAGATGTTATATATTGAAGTGGATGTTTGAAAGTTATATATTTGTTTTGGTGATTATATGCTTCTAAGTATTTTAAAACACTCTATGTACAGTTTTTATATCACTATTTCGTATTTGACAATGTTTTCCTGTGGTACTGTTTCTGCTTATTTATCCCCACTCCTACATTTAGTATCTGAGAAAAAAAGTATTTACCTATTGTCATACTGTCTCCCTTGTTACACAGTGTCCTCAGTTGCATTATTCTGAATTAGAGAGTATCCTTTGGGCATACATTATCCTGAAACTACTTAGTTTTGATTGCTTATAGAAGTCACTTGATAGAATCCATTTGGGGGAGGGAAGGAGGAAGAGAGAAGGAGTTGAAGGAAGGCAGAAAGGAAGAACAGACAGACGCAAAGAAATTAACACAGATGTACTAATTATTCCTAAGGCTTTGACCTCACAATTGTAGTGTTGTATGTTGAAAACAAGCATTTGCAGATCACTGTGAAGTGATTATATTGTAGGCTGTAGGATGTACACCTGCAGAAGGTGTTATGCTAATAGGGTTCTGCATTACACACCTGCTTCCTTCTCATCTGCCTCTCTTTGGACCCTCTAAGCTGGGGCTTTCTCTGCCTTGCCACATCAAAATTTTGTTGAAATCTTTCTTCTGTTAATTGTCCCTCTCCTGTTCTTTTGTGAGTTTATGCATTTTTAATTATTTTCCCTGATTGTAGAATGATCTGAGAAGGCAGCCCAGCTGTGCTGTATATATGTATTTAATAGGAAAACTGTCATTTCCTTTAATTTTATATTGTCTCTTTACTCCTCAAAATTAAAAATTTTTTTTGTTGCCAAATGTGATCTTCTCTTTTCTTTATGGGATTTATGCCAAATTTTGGATTATAACGTTATAAAAATAATCTCGTAATTTTGTAGTTTGAGGGGGGTTATGTTTTGTACACAACTGTGGTACATTAATTGGATATTATTCAGTTATTAAAAATGTGCTAGATGTATGACATAGAAGTGCATTTTTGAAATATAGATGGTGAAGATGAGTCGCCGCCAGTCCCACAGTCAGTGAAGATTAGTGACAGCAGTTATTTTCAGAAGTAGAGAATTTCATACGTGAAATTCAAGCCTGCTTTGAGATTGACTCATGGGTGATGTTATAACTAGATTATTTAGGACTAACCTGTAAAACCCTTCAGGTGCAGGACAAACCCTTCTTAAGCCTCATTTTGTGTTACGGTAGCTGAAGTCTAAGGAATGTGAATGTACTTGGCTTTGAGGCAGTGGATGAACCAGTAGAAGCTTTTTAGTCTTGTTTCTTAGCCTGCTTTTCTCATGTGTGCTTATGTGATCTCTCCTGTCCCCTAGATAAACAGGGGTCACATGACGACAGAAGCCAAGAGAGCTGCAAAGATGGAAAAGAAGATGAAAATTTTGCTTGGGGGTTACCAGTCTCGTGCTATGGGGCTCATGAAACAGTTGAATGACTTGTGGGACCAAATTGAGCAGGCTTACCTGGAGTTACGCACTTTTGAAGAACTCAAGAAACATGAAGACTCTGCTATTCCCCGGAGGCTAGAGGTAACAATTCTTGCCTGGCAGCGTTGCTTAGAAAGAGAGCTGCAAAGAATTATCAGGACTTTCCTTTTTTTTTCCTTTCTGCGCAGGCTGTCTTCTGAAGTTGATACTGTCTGGCCTTTTTCAGTGAGACCCAAAAGTCTTTGGCTTTCTCATCTAGAATGGCCTTTGTGTAGATGGGTGGACCAGGCCAGTTGTGGATGCAAAGGCTTTTCCTTTACTGATTTTCTGTCTTTACTGTGAAATAGAATAAATAACCCTTGTGATTTGTCCCCCTGAAACTTAATTGCATCCCATTCATATAGCTCTTAGAGATACATTAAACTAATGTCTTTTTGTTTTGTAACTTAGGATGCTGGGAATATAGCTAGTCATTCAAAAGCATCAAATTCCTGTGGCTAGATTTGGTGTAACTTTATTTGCTGAGTGTACGTGATGCAGATAAAGAGCAGCCATGGCTTATTTAAGTGCATTCATGGGCATTGACAGGACAATAATGGCTTGTTTATTTGAGATAGCATCAGAGATTACAATCAGATGGTAGTCATGACCAAATCAGAGAATGGCTGCAATGCAGTCATGCACTACACAACGACGTTTTGGTCAACGACAGACCGAATATATGACGGTGGTCCCATAAGGTTAGTACCATGTAGCCTAGGTTTGTAGCTGGCTGTCCCATATAGGTTTGTGTTAAGTACACTCTATGATGTTTGCACAATGACAAAATCCCCCTAACCACCCATTTCTTAGAATGTATCCTGTCGTTAAGTGATGCATGACTGTGCTGGTTTTATAGCAGAAGTAGTTGCTATTTTTGTTGCTCTTTGGGAATACTTACCTCTTAAGAGTCATGACTTAACTCAAGCTGTTTGTAACATCATAAAGTACCATAAGATATTTTTAATTTTCAGTGTGCTTACGTATGAAATAATTATTTAATATTTTTTGTTTTTTCAAGTGTCTAAAAGAAGATGTTCAGCGACAACAGGAAAGAGAAAAGGAACTTCAGCATAGATATGCTGATTTACTGCTGGAGAAAGAGACTTTAAAGTCCAAATTCTGAAACATAGATTATATTCTGTCACAAGATGAATTAATTGCTGGTTTTCATACTCTGGAAGGCTGAAACTGATGTTTATCTTCATTGACAAATTTGCCCACGATCTGTGGTTTTTCAGTTGTTTATTTTAAGTGATATCGATCTCACACATTCTGTGTATAAAGACTTTAACTCCATAGGGCATTTTAGGGTTTAAATTATTAAGGTGATCATTCTTTTAGCAGTGTCATATTTGCAAAATTTTTTCAGTTTGACCTTTAATTTTAAAAGCCTGATTTTAAAATGCTGCCTGTGAGTAAACTCTTGAATAAAAACAAAATATAAAAAATTGAGAATGTAGCCCTTTGTTTGAAGTAATTAGATACTTAGAGTGCCCACAAACCAGCAAATATGTACTCTGGGTCGTATTTAATGAGTAACTCTCGGGTAATCAAAATGGCAATCCAGAATCTTAACTTAAATCCTTAAGAGGCAATCCTTTTGTGGCTTTGTTAGTTTTGACCGTTTTAGCATAGAACGGTCATTTCTCTGTACACTGACAAGATAGATTAAGTTTTTCATAGCTCATTTTTCTTTTTCAGTATAACTTTAGGGAAGGTTTCTTCTCTGCGCAGCTACTTAGACAGTTTGTGGATTAGGACTCAAAAGATTTAATTTTTCTTGCCCTGTTATTTTCTTGTAAATATTTTTTTGACAGGCATTTTAAAGATAAATTTCAACAAGGCTATCAAACTTTATTAAAACTGTGTTTATCTGAAGTCAATCACACGAGTGTAGAATTTGGGGAATGGGTAAAGGTGGGAAGATCTAACTTTATAGCAATTCGTATGAGGTCATGTAGGACAGTATTGATTGGCTACAGGTTCAGTATGGGCCAACAGTGTGTTGGACCCACCAAAAGATTGCTCAGTCTTAGACTACTGGAGACTAAGGAAGGAAAGAAGAGGTTTTCTTCCTTCATTGGTTCATTTATCAGATTTTATTGACTATATACCCAGTGTTGGAGTCCTGGAGATAGAACAATCAATAAAATAGGTATGGTTCCTGTTTTGTGGAGCTTACCAGTCTATTGAGAATGCTAGACAAGTAAAATTCACATGTTTATTGGGTGACTCTTCTTATGTGTTAGGCACTTATTTAAGTCTTGGTGATTAACAGTTATTAAGACAAAGTTCCTGCTCTCATGGAGGTGACGGTAGTGGGAGGAGATACTAAACATACAGGGAAAAGTATTAGATCATGAACTTTAGATTCTATGGAAGGAAGTAAAATATGGTGATGAGAGAGAGTGGCTGGGTGGCTTCTTTAGGTTGGATGATCAAAGAGCTCTCTGAGGAGGTAGCATTTAGGATAAGATGTGATTGGCGTCTTGGAAGGAGCCATCCTTGGGAGATTCAAGGGAAGAGCCATGTCGGCAGAGTGAGTAACTAGCACAAAGCCCCTTTGGTGTGTTTGAGAAACAGAAAGGAAGACAGTGTGGCTAGAGTGTCAAGAATGGCATTTGTATAAGGCCTGGTTGTACAGGGCCATGTAAGGCTGTGGTAAGGAATTTGAATCTTATCCTATGATGGGAGGCTGTGAAAAGATTGTAAGCAAAGGAATGACATGATCAGAGTTGTTTTAGAAACATCCTGTGGCCATCCTGTATGATGTCTCACCAGGCTGAGTTAATTTGGGAGCCTGATTCAGTAATCTAGGCAAAAATAAAATCGAGTCAAACTAGGATAGAGGCAGTCTTGATGGAGACAGGTGGAAAGATTGGAGCTGCAATAATTCTGTAGTCTCACCAGATCATAAATGTCTACTTTCCTAGTATCTAGTCACTTAATTCTAGTACTTTTTTCAGTAATTTCGTATGGGTTTTCTAGGAAATACTTTATCATCTATGAATAATGATAATGTTTCTTGTAATTATTTTTGCTGCATGTTTTGTTGGCGGAAATGTTGAGGACAATGGTAAATGGTGATGATAGTGGACACTCATGTTTTGTTTCCGATTGTAACGTGAATATCCAGTGTTTACCTTTAGGTTGGCTGTTTTGAGTCAGATATTCTTTATTTAGAAAGGATATCTAGAAATACCTATTTTTAGTTTTTCAAGAATTTGAATTGGGAATGGCTCTGAAATTTTGTCACATATACTTTTTGGATATCTGTGAAGATGATCATTTAGTTTTTTTCTTTTTCATTTGATTCCTTGATGACATGTTAATAGGTTTTCCAGCATTAAACCATCTTTGAACTCCTGGGATCATAGATTAACTAAAAAATTTTTTTTTAAAGAGATTTGCAGTTTTCTTGCATCCTATGTAGACTTGAATTATATGGATTTAAAATAGTTGATCTAATAATATTAATAAAGACTCACATGGTTTTCAAAATTTGAAGTAATGTACATACTTAGAGCTTAAAAAATGGCCAACAATGGCATCATTTCACAACTGACAGTCTCAGTGCATTTGTAAACTGCTGGTGATTCTGCCACACAGCAGTGCGGCTTTAACCAGTAAACAGACGTGCCGTCCTCCTTCCTCAGCGCCCGGTGAAGCCCAGGGCTCTTCCCCAGCACCAGTCTGACAGCGATTTTGGTGCCTCTGAACAGTCACGTTGATCATGTTCTCTCACAGGCTTCATTGAGTGGTAATGGAACAGCCAGTGTTGGAAAGTATGTTCAAGTCTCAGTAACTTTGGGACAGAAATTAAAGTTGATAAAGAGCCAAAAGAAACCACCACCATGAGCGAGAGTCCTGTTTGAAATATTAGAAATAATTAGAAACATTCTCTGGCCATCCTGTATAATGTCTCACCAGGCCGAGATAAGAAAAAGCGGTGTCGAAAGAAAGGAATACACTACGGTGATTGTGGACTTAGGCTGTCCAGCCATGCGGCCCGTGTTTTTACATTTATTTTTCTCGGAAAATTAGTTTTGAAATACGTGATGTCCTCTGGAATGCTTTTCTTCTAAAATGGGACTGCCCTGTTGGTACTATAGAATTTGATTTGCTCATATTTTATTTAGGGAAATGGCATTATTACATGAGTGAGTTTGGTCTTTTGGGCTGTCATCACCCAGGTTTTGACATGCGGATTCTGCCAGCTCTCTAAAGTGAATAGGATAACTGTATAAATTTTCGTGTGATTAAGCAGTTACGTTACAGTATGGGAGTGATTTGTTCCATGGAAGATGGAAGGACTGTACTTATAAAACTTTGAAGTTCAGAGCCCTGTTTGGAGATAATTTCGGGATATAACTGTCAGTTTCTTCTGTAACTATTAGTATCTTATCTGTTTTTAAATTTAAATTTTCTGTTTTAAAATGTATTTCTCCTTTTGTGTTTATTATCTACTAAATTTAAGTAATTCATACTTTTCCATAAAACTTCTCATTTTGTTGAAATTTAACATGTTTGTTAGAGAATTTTAGTAGAGAATAAAAAATCTCATTTCTATTAAATTGCTACTTTTAAGTTATAAGAAATTTACCTTTTCTTAATTCTACCATGTTTTATTTTTTCTTCATTACGCTTGCTAAAGGTATCTTTTTTCCCTTCAAAAAAAGCTAGTGTTTGGATTTATCAATTGTGATTTTGTTTTAAAATGTATTACTTTCTTATTTTATGTTTATTTCCTTTGTTTTCTCTAGATTTTTTTCTCTGTAACTTTTTGCGTCTGATGCTTATTTTTTATTTTTGTTTGTGTACAGATGAATACGTTGAGGACTTTTGGTTATGTCCCATTTCAAAGACGCTCACTTCCCAGCTGTGCTGATGTGTCTTGTTTTGTAAATAGTTTATCATTCTGTTTTAAGTTTTAGGTTCAATAATTAAGAATATTTAAAAATTTCAGTGTGGTTCTTTTTTTTTTAATCATTTTTAGATTGTTGCCTTGTGGAAAGCAAATATGGCTTACGTAGTTTCTCCTTTTTAGAATTTATTGAGGTTTTGGGGCCTGGCATTTTAAGAAAGTGTTCTATGGGTGTTCTAAATGAACGTTTATTCACTTTATATAGGACAGAGGTGAATGTGTAGTATTTAACCACTTTCGTTATATTATTAAAATCTTATTTTCTTATGTTTGGTAATAAACTATCTAGACTAACAGTATTATCTTAAAGTCTCATTATAGTTATTTTTCTCAATTTCATCTTGTTTGTCTAGAACTTTTGCTTTGTATATTTTGATACTGTTCTTTAGTATATAAATACCTGTGTCTGTTAGGGTACAATTCATAAAGAAGACTTAGTAGTCTAAAGTTACTCTTTTTGTCCTGTTCATGCTTTTTCCCTTGAATTTTACTTTCTTTGATATTAGAATATTTCTCTTCCTTTTTTGTTTATATTTGCTTGATAAATTGTTGTATTTTTAACTTTCGTGTAATCTTTAGTTGTCTCTTAAACAGTTTGTCTTGTTGGATTTTATATTTCAACCAATTTGGAGAGTCTTTGCATTTTAATAGGGAGTCTAATCCATTTGCTTTTATGTTAATTACTGACTTTGGTCTTCTGTGATCACGTTTTATGCTTTCTCACTGATTCCTCTTATTTTCTAAATGGACTGTAATTTCCTGGCTTTAATTTTCTTAGTGATTTAGAAAATATACATCCTCTTTTAAATTTTACAAAGGATTATGGTATCATTTAGGGTTCAGGATCCATTCAGGAGAAAGAAACCGTACCAGTAATTGCAACAGGGAGAATTCAATATGAAGAATTATTAATTAGTAACAGATTAGCCACTAAGAGGGGCAAAGACATCCCTAAAGAATACAGGAATAGCAGATGGAGGAGCTGTCACATCTTGTAGATTGAGAGAGTAGACCCTAGGAAGGACAAACTTGGAGGACCCCTTCCCACCCTGCCAGGCGGAGATGCAGATCTCACTGAAGAGGCTGTGTGTGGCTTGCTGGATGGAAAAGTTTGCTGAGGTGCCACAGTTTGAGGTGGCGGGGAAACTTGCCAGGAAGTCACTTGCTGGGGTGCTGGTGACACTTGGAGGAAAGCTGCCTGCTGGGGTGCCAGCAAACCTCTGGAGAGTGTGTGCCATGCTCTTTCACACATCGCGGGCAGGGAAGCCTCCCACTGGCAAGAAAGCCACATGCTGACAGTGACATGGTGGGAGCACCAGAACCAGAAGTGAAGCCCCTTCCACGTGCAGTGGCGCCCCAGGCCTTCTACTTACAGCGCCTGATACTGTGTCCTCTGGCACTGGAGAAATGTTTATAGGTTACAACTCCAGTATCACAAACCAGGGCAAGAGGATTAATTTGGAGCTGACACAATAACCATTGTTTTCCAAAGTCCCACTTGAGCTTGTAATTTTCTTAGTGGCTGGATAAAGAATGAAGCTGTTGTCTGACCCAGTTTTAATTCCATTATCAGCTCTTTACACCACGGTCAGGGGACTGTTTATGTGTGTCTCCAGGGAATCTCTAGGGTACGCCTCCTATTTCACTTTTCAAAGCTGTTTATTTCATCTGCTTGTTGCCCCTGGTGGCCAGTCTTTGGGTTTGGATCCAAGTTTTTCATCTCTGCCTGGTCTCATGCTTAGAGCATTTGTTGGAGTGTTTCCTTGGTTCTTTATCCTTCCTGCAAGCCTACGTTATTTCTTTAGGGCCCCTTTATTCCACACTTGCAGCCAGAAATAAAGGCAAGGAGGGGAGTTCAGACAATATTATCTCTTAAGAAAAGGTTTATTTTTATGAGTCATACGTGCATATGTTTATAAAAGCAAATCCTGAGATGATAGTGATGGTTGGAATATCTTGGATTTTTGGATTTTCTTACTCTCCACATAAAAACATAGCAACCCCAAACCCCTGGACAACGTTTACAACATAACTAGATGGCAAGATATTCCTGCGGGCTCCAACATATGAGTGGGTGGGGGTGAACCACCACCAGGGGCAGGCCCTGTGTGCTGTCCTGTCTGTGCAGGGAAAACTAAAGGTGGGCCATGGGGCATCTGACACAGGGAACTGGAGAACCCTGACATGGCCAACAGGTATTCATGGAATGAGTGGTGGACCAGTTTGAGACCAGTGGCTAAAATTGGCAAAGCTTTGCCCACTGCAGTTGTGGGCGAGTGAATGGGAGTACAAGTTGGAAGACAGATTAGCAATCTTGATGGTTAATATGTTAACACTTTTTAGACATGCCTAAAGATTTCAAAAGTCTTCTGTCTCAAAGCAAGATTTTTTCCTTTGGAAAAAAAGTACAACAATGTAGTAATAGATGGGTATTAAAATAACCAGCTGTAACATATTTGTTAACTACTGTGGAAGAGTTGCATTGTCCAGTATGTGACCTGTGTGACTTGAGCCACGTGTACTAAGCACTTGAAATGTGGCTAGTTCACGTCAAGATGTGCTGTAAGTAGCTTACTGGATTTTGAAGACTGAGTATAAAAGAAAGTGTAAAAAATTGGGGCTGGCCCCGTGGCCAAGTGGTTAAGTTCACGCGCTCCGCTGCAGGCGGTCCAGTGTTTTGTTGGTTCGAATCCTGGGCGTGGACATGGCACTGCTCATCAAACCACGCTGAGGCAGCGTCCCACATGCCACAACTAGAGGGATCCACAACGAAGAATATACAACTATGTACTGGGGGGCTTTGGGGAGAAAAAGGAAAAAAAAATAAAATCTTAAAAAAAAAAAAGGTAAGTGTAAAATATATAAATTTTTTATAATGCCTACATGTTGAGAATATTTTTGATATAGTGGGTTAAATAAAACAATCTTATTAAAATTAAGTTCACTTTCTTTTTTTAAAAATGGCTAGTAGAAAATTTGAAATTATATATGTGACTTGCATTATATTTCTGCTGCACAGCACTGTTCTAATTTTTTGTTACTGATTTCTAATTTAATTCCATTGTGGTTTGAGAACACACACTGCATGATTTTTTTATATTTATTGGAACTTGTTTTATGGCCCTGCATATGGCCTGTTTTGATGAATGTTTCATGTTCACTTGAAAATAATGTGTACTCTGCAGGCTGTAATCTTCTGTAAATACCAGTTAGGTCACATTGATCAGTTGAGTTCAAGTTTTCTATATCCTTAATGGCTTTTTTCTCCACTTCTGTAAGTTGGTGAGAGAGGTATGTTGAAATCAGCAGCTGTAATTGTGGACTTGCATA